ATGCCGAGGGTAAGGCCAGAGAAATTTGAGGCTTAAATCTGGTTGGTTTTCTGCTGTCGCGTATGGACTGGAGTCGTTGGGTTGGTTAGCTTTATGGAACGTTGACTTTTCAACGTCTGGAACATTTAAAAGAATCCTTTCTGGCACGCGTTAAATTTTTAATGGTTGAGCTAAAAATAGTCATTTGCAACTAAAGCTGAAAGCATCCCTCTTGTTTTTCCTGAAAACATTTTTTATTCTTTCCCTGTTAGAGTTGCTTCAGTTAATTACTTGGACTAACGGCGGTACGGATGAGTACTTGGGGCAGTGGTCTTCCAAAGGGATTTCTGTTGAATTTTAAGCAAGAGCTCTGCTAACCTCAGAGCTGGCAAGGCCTGGCCAGGGATGAATTCTTATTTTGACGGTGTTGCCTGCGATACTTTTGTGCCCCTCTGCTGCTCTCCTCCGTCTGTGTTTTCCTGTGGGCTGCTGCACCCAGAAAAACTCGTCCCTGGAATAACTTATCCCCGGTTCTGTGTGTTTTCCATTGGGCAGAGGGGCTTTTTTAAAGGAAATTAAATTTATCTCTATAATGAACTGTCTGTGCAAGCCCGGCTTCATGTTTTGAGTTTAAACACGGTGCATGAAGAGGCTAATTTTTTTTACTGTGTCTGATTTTTATATAATACTAATATTGATAGTTGTGGAAGCTTGACCCTTCTTTTAGCTCACTGGAAACCAAATAAAGGCAGATTGGCCAGGGGCTAACGCAGTTTTTCTGGTCCCTTTTCCATTCACACCTTCCACTAATGCGGTTAAATTTCCTGAGCCTCTGTAGACAAGCTCTTAAAACTTTCCCTGGGTGGTAAATCTTGCAGTGTAGCTCACCGTGTGTAGAAACACCCAAAAATAAATTGATGCTGCTTCATCCATTTTTTATTAGCTTGCGTAAGGAGGGTGTGAAGGGAAGAGTTGCCGTGTCTGGCTGGACGATCGATTCTAGTTCTGACAAACTCCTGGCCCGCGTCGCCAAGAAATAAAAGGTGAATTTGCCATCTGCAGCATCGGGGAGCGGTGTGGCTCCACGTTGCCCTGAGGTGCTGCCCCTCTGCCTGTTCCCGGAGCTTTTGCGGACTCAATTTTAAATTTTTTAGCCCACCTGTAGCTAGAGGACAAAACGGACTTGCCGGTTAACAGGTGCCTCTGGCAGTGACATCTCTGCCGGCTGCTCCATGCCGCGCCGTACCTGTCATCTTCACGCAAGACATGGTTGGTTCTTCACAGACTCCAGTGCTGGATTTAGGAAGGTTTTTATTTGAAAGCTTAAGTTTTGTGCTTTGAATTGTTAGAAAACAGCACGAGAATGGTTTAGACTGCTTCCTTTGCTTCGCCTTCCAGCTCTGCCACCGTTTATGCTTCGTGTTAATTGCGATTGTTTAGACTGTGGCTGCGAATGATCAGAGGCAGGAGCTTGGGCTCAGTTTAGTGAGTTTTAGTACTGGAGTGTGCCCAACTGGCTGAGCCCCCTCAGTCGTTCTAGATGAACCCCAAGGATGAGCAGGAGCTTCAGCCTCCAACAAGTCTGTGTCACGGAATCACAGAATTGTTGAGGCTGGAAAAGACCTCTGAGATCATCGAGTCCAGCCCATGTCCCAACACCACCACATCCCTGTGAGGCTGGCGGTGACAGCGCCGGTGGCTTTGTGCCATGGGTACATCAACTGGAAGCATCATCAGACCACAGAGCAGCGTCCACGCGACCCGGCACTGA